GTTGGGAGGAAGAGTCTGGCGGAGACGCGTGATCTGGGGATAATCGTAACGTCTTTGGATGTGACGCCGGTGAGAGGGTCGGTGGACGGCGCCGGCGGGACGAAGTCGGTGCCGATGAGACGCTCGATTCGGCCGTCTGTGTGGACGCGGAGAAGAGGGAGTAACTCGAAGGCTGTTTCTGGCTCGCCGAATTCCATGGAAATGGATTACTCAGTCCAACCAATCCAATCCAAAGAGGGGTGTTGATCTCAAGTCTGGGCTTGCTGATCAATGGATTGAAGGGTAAGTTTCTGTGGGCTTCCTTCGCCTATCTAAACAAATATTAGAAGATGAAGCCACCTTCAATTATAAATATCTAAATATATATAGCAATATAGCAATATTGATTCGATATAAGAACACAACCAAGTAAAATTTTGAAACTTATTTTCGTAAGACTTCTGCAAGACATAACATAACAATTTTGAGAGAGAGTGAGTATATATATTTTAAATGAAATCGTTAGGACATCAATTATTGAATAAAAGTCAATAAATGATTGATATCATAGATTAATAATTAATTAAATAAATCTGTGCATGTCGACTAACTCAATCTACGTCTATTTTAGAAAGGCTAAATCATTGTGAAAAATCAGATAAGTCATCCGTCTCTTTACAGAAATCAATGGACTCTCTCCCTCTTTGGCTTCAAACTCACTCTATTTTTTACTGAGTTGTAGTTTGTTTTAATTAATGCTCGTTTAAAACATCATTTTAAATAAACAATCAATTACATAAAGAACCTAAGTAATTTGGATTACTTTATCAAGCCATCATGGTTATAAGAAAATCTAAAAAGATGTATTTGTAATTATTCTGTAAATAATATTAATTTTAAAAAATACATATATGTTAATATTCAAAAAGAAAACAAAAAAGACTATCCAATGAATGTTTTGTTTAAGTTATTCGTTTATTCAAAACTGTAGGCATACACGAATAGAGCTTAATAATTCTAACAATGGCATGAAGAATAATTTTTAAAATGGAAAGTGACTGATTTAAAAATATGTCCTTTTTCCAAATTATCAATACCTAGATCAAAAATTTAAAATTTAGCACATTTGAAAGGACTAACATGAATATTGCTCATCGGTTAAAGTATCTATTAAGTATTCACACACTTGTTGTACTAAAAATTGTAATATATTATTCCTCAAAAAAAAAATTGTAATTCATTTTAGACTTATCAGAATGGTAATATAAAAATGTAAATGAATTATTTCTTTTTTGTAAAAAATGAAAACAAAAATCCAAAATGACATGATGTGGATATGGGCCTAATCGGGCCAACAATACATCAACTTTTCAGCCCAAAAAACAAATAGAACTAAAGTAGGAAGTTGAGAGCGGCACTACACTCTGACAAGTGGCAATTTTGTCGTTAATTACATGTTTGCCCTTCTTCTTCTTCTTTTTCCTCCATCATTTCGAGCTGCCTCCGGCTTGCGAGTTCGCTCTTAATTTTGCAGTTTCAAGGAAAAAGCTAAAGCGATGGAGAAAATGATGATTCTCAGATCACTATTGCGTTCTGTCCGCGTCGGATCTTACGGCGTCGCCGGAGTCAGACACCGGAATTTGCTGCAAAGTCATCACCAGGCTGCCCGAAGTTTATTCCATCTGTCGTCTCATCGTTCTTCTGTTTCAGATTCTCTGCAGAGAGTTTCCTCCGGTACTTCTCATTCTTCTAATTAGTTATATTTATACTCTGTTTTTATCCATTAATTCAAATCTCTCCGGATTAATTTTGAAATAAAGTGGAATTTCCTGGCGTAGTTGTTCGATAGTGTTTTATTGAACTAGTTTAATTCTAGCTATTGATTCTTTTGTCCGTTTAATTTTACCGGTGATCGATAAACTGCCATCTCCTTCCTCTTGAACCTTACTACTATTTGTTGCCGATCGAGCAACGAAAACAAAATTTGAGAAGAATCTGCACTACATTGTGAAATAAAGTAACTTCTATGGCTTCAATCGTGAGGCGGAACAAAGAAGTTGAACTCTATTTTATATAGTAATGATTTAAAAGCAGCTCATTTTTGCTAGGGAAATCAATATATGTTGATTTGGGATTGGATATGTGTAATAATAAGGTGGTTTTTTCTTCATGCTGTCGTGATGCTAGGATGACCCGCTAGACGGTTAGCCAGGATTTTTCTTCTCGTCTGCTGGTAAACATAGGTTTGAACTTTCGATTTTCTCACTCGATAAGCGAACTCACACATGAATTTATTATATGCTGGTTATTTTGTCTTATAGATTCGGTTAGGAACTCCTTTTCGCAATTTCTTATTAAATATATGTTTCTTCTTCCATCAAATTTCAAATTCAGATCTTTGCTTCTGCATTTGTACAGTAAATTTGCTATATTCTCTTTTATATCAGCATTTATCATCAAGTCAACTGTGCTGCAAGTCTTCATATAATTTGCAATTTGTGTATAATTTTTATGTCAAATGCTATATTTCTTCAAGTGCCCCTTATTGTTACTTCATTGTTGTCTCGACATTATTTTAAGATTTGTAAAATGGCAATATGTAACTTAGCTATACCTATGTTTTAAAGAATTGCATGAAAATCAATCCCGTATTGGGGAGCAAGGAATGTCATCTGAAGTTGTAAAACTCGTTTAGCTTTACACAAGCTGAATATCCTATTTTTTAGCAAATGCATTTTTTAATTAGTATAAGATGAGATACATGGGGGAAGAGTGAAAGTTTCAACCTATTCTGTGCAGCAATGTGCACTGTGAAAAAATTTATTGCCTTGGTAGAGTAGTTTCAGAAAATTTCAGAAATTTCACCATAGGTGGCAACCACGCCAGCCTACCATGGTGATCTGAAATGTTTGAACAATCTAGATGGATTCAATTAAATTATTTTTTCAGTATCACAATGTTTTAAAAGATATCATATTTCTGTTTCTTCTGGTAAATTTATGCAGATTGTGGTTATCCATCTGGTGTAGGGCGTGTGAGATTTTTTAGTGTTGATGTAGTTCATATGCCTACAATTGAAGATTCCAAGCTTCAAAATGTTTTCAAGGATTTGATGGCTACAAGTTGGGATGAGCTTCCTAACTCTATTGTCTATGATGTAAAGGCAGCATTATCTGGAAGCACAGACGACAAGGCCGGAAAGGAAGTTGTGGAAAATGTTTTCCGAGCTGCTGAAGCAGTTGAGGAGTTTGGTGGCATACTTATCAATTTGAAAATGAAAATTGATGATAGTATTGGTCTCAGTGGCGAGGTATTGAAAATTATAAAATTTTCAACTTATTTTTTTCTCCAGTTTTTGATCAATTAAAAACTTCAAAATCCATCTGCAGGATGTTAAGCCTTTGTCAGATGAGCTTAAGAATGCATTACATACAGTTCATGATCGCTATACAACCTACTTGGATGCATTTGGTCCGGAAGAGAACTATCTGCGGAAGAAAGTGGAGACAGAGTTGGGAACAAAGATGATATACTTGAAAATGCGATGCAGTGGCCTTGGATCCGAGTGGGGAAAGGTATTAAAACTCTATTAAAACTCTGCTATGGAATTCATTAATTACTATTTAGAACATTTAAATTGGTGAAATAAGTATAGCCCATGAGGCAGTTTCCACAGAAGAAATGTTATGTCCAGCTATTAGTCTTAAAATTCTTACACCATTGAATTATAAGAGTAGAGTCTTTAAATCACCATATGTTAATTTTAAACTGGAAAGGAAGCTCACATACTTATTTTGGAAAGAGTCCATGCTTCTGTTCTTCTAATAAATGAATTTGATCATTTGATTTTGTTAACCATGTCTTGTTTTCTATTTTACGACAGGTTTCGGTGCTGGGAACCTCTGGTCTATCAGGCTCATATGTCGAGCAAAGAGCATAGATTTGGTACCTCTGAAAGTTCGGCTGTAATTGCGAGCTTCCTATTGTTTGGGTCTATTTCTTCAATGTTTTGTTGTGCATCTTCTCTCATCGTGGAGCTAATAGCAATTTAATAAATTCCACCTCGATGAATGAATTCTCAGAATTTAACATTCTTGTTTTTTTGCCAATTATTGGTTTCCTTTAACAAGTTTGTGCAGCCAGTTTCTAGTTTTTGCATTTCTGAGTTTTTATAGTGTTACTTGTGAACTGCGTGGGGGCAACCTTAATTCTGATTACTGCTACTGTAACTACGTAATGCATCCTTCAAAGCAGCTGCTAGAAAGCATTTCCTGGAAGAATTTGGTGGGTCTTCTTGATAAAAGACTCCCATATTGCTGAAGCTAGAATTGCCCCATACTGCTGCTTGACTTCAGGGATCGAAATGGCTCCATTTTTTACAGTGCCTTCACAGCTTATTCCATTACCTTGAAAATTAATTGCCATGCTGTATGTTTATCTAACACCTACTTTTTTAGGTTTTAGGATTCTCAACTTAAAGCTCAAGTGACGAATTGAGACATTTGACTTGTTCTCTATCACGCTTGATGTACGAGGAAAAGCATCTTCATCCGGCGCTTAAAGGCAAAGATGATGATATTGGTGAAAATTTATTCCTACAAGATGGATGGAGACACCTTATCTCAAGTAAGTAGAATCATTATTGGTAATTCTAAATAAATTACTTTTCACTTCTAGGTGGGTAAGAAGAAATAATCATTGATTTGGTTAATTGAGTCTCATTCTAATTCGCTGAGTAACATGTTTGCATCGTCGTATTTGTCAAGTAAAACCATTAATAGTAGTCTTTGTGTACTTTATACGGTAGAACTTTTGGCCAAAATGAATTCTTTTAGTCGAACTCAACTATATCAGATCAATCAAAACACACAGGCTCTCGTACCAGTCTACTACTTCTTGGTCTTAAACTTTAGTAATTTATATATAGTTGCTTGCTTAGCTTCAAGCTCGATAAAGTTCGATCATTTTAGAGCCCATTTAGTAACGTTCATGTTTTTTTATTTCTGTTACTTCATTTTTAACAAAAGAAAATTGAATCGCATGATTCCAACATCCATGAGTTCAAGTATAATAAAACAATTTTTTTTATTTATGTTTTGGAACACATTGGAAATAGGAACAAGAAATAAAATACTTGTTTTGGTTATTTTCAAAATTTCTATACAATTTCGAGAATGTTCCCAAAAAAATGAGAAATAAGAAACATATTTAGTTGTAAAATGCTTAGATTTCTTAAGAAAATTGGAAAGTAAAAATAAAAAACGAAAACGTTACCAAATGATCCTTAGCTTTTAATGTAGGTACAAAGATTGGAGGCTTTGTTGTTGACATCAATCCCTACCGTTTAAATTAGTTTTCAAGGAGAAAACTTGGCTCGGAGGAACATTCTCCTTAATACCATTACATATTTGACAATTCATTATTTTTTGTAATTTTTTTATTTTTACATCTCTCTCATAGTTGTCAAATATTTAATGGTGTTAAAGAAGAAGTTCCTCTTTATCCTTAACTTTAAGGAGTCAAGTTTTTTCCTTTCAAGAAAGTTAATTTAACTGACTTTTATTGTAAATTTAGACTACGAGGAGTGGCTAGTGACATATTTATCCCTCGAATGATTGTTTAGCTTATCGCGACCAAGTATATCAAGTGATTTCCTTAGATCTTTCACCCTTGAAGTAGTAATCACAACTATTATTTAAATTAAAAACTTTGACATCAAGTGTAGCTATTTTTTGCTTTTAAAATTTTTTGTGAGGGATACCTCTAGGTTTGCATCAAATTGTGTACTAGCCAAGATTTAAAGTTTGAAATCATGCGTTCTCTTCTACGATGCTTACAAGTCAGGAAAATTAAAAGTTCTCCCTTTTACTACACTGAATATGAAACTACATTTTACTATAATTGGTACGTGATGATCTTTTTGCCCAGCCCTTTTACCTCTTCTATTAATTTAATTGACTTTTCATCTTGTACATTTCGCCATATTTAACTTGCATTTATTTTTTTAAAAGGAAAACTTAATCTCGTCTTTTTTTATTAACCAAGTTATATGTTGCAAATAGGTTTTTAAGATTAACTTGAACTTTGCAAATACACCATTCAATACCACAAGACACTCTTCCTCTTAGAATTAGCTTAGAGAAACATTTAATTCAATAATTAAAGCATCTCTTATTTGAATTACATTATCAATTGTGACATCTAGTAACAAGCACACCAACTCGACATCCACGATGGTAACAATGTGTTAGGAGTCGTATCTAATATGTTTAATAGATTCTTGAATCCTAATATGTGTTCTTCCACGAACCTTCGTGTTTAGAGTCATGATCCTCCCTATGTCTCAAACCTCTACAAAACCATATATGGGCTCAAACAAGTGTCTATACTTTGTATGATTGGTTTAAACACTTTCTTGAGCTTTTCTAACATAAGAGTAGAGCATTCTTATAATAATATGTTCTTAAATCAAAAGTAGATAATGTCTTAAAATCTACCGAAACTCAGGGAGTTCCTTTCTATTGGTCATATTTAGTTAATTAAATTTTATTTTTAAAAAAATTAAAATCACTTTTATTGGCCACTACTGGCGAAAATAAACAATGTTAACATTTCTCAGTTCCTTTCTATTGTGTACTGCACATGTCCAAAATTGACTTGACGCCTAGGAAAGGTTTTCAACTTCACTCAACAAAGTTGCTCTCCATAAATTTTTTTCCCTTTTTTGATATAAAACACATCCATTAAATGGTAATTAAAGCCTCATGGGCTACAGAGGAACTACAGTTCCTAATCGCCTATTGCACGAGCCAATTTGGGATATGAAGACACCAAAATGTTGAAGCATTTGAGGAAACCCTCTAAAAGCTAAACTGGCAACATAATTGACTTTTCGAGGAACATGCATAGAAAGAACTTTAACAAGTGTATAATAAATCCTTCGAACTTTAAAAAAGTATTTAATAAATCCTTAAATTTACACTATTTTTTCTAATAGATTTCTGAACTTTAAGAAGTGTATTTTAAAAAAGTGTATAATAGATTACTAAACTTTTAATTTTATTAGCTGTTTGTGTCTAATAACTAATAAGTGAGATCTTTAGACAATTTTTAAAAATTGAATAACCTATTAGTCACAAAATCGAATGATCATGAATGTATTAATAACTTATCAAAAGTTCAAAGACCTATCAAGCACAACATTGAAAGTTCAAAAACACGTTAGACACTTTTAAAAATTTCAAATTCTATTAGACACAATTTTAAAAGTTCAATACGGTAATTTAACCGAACAAAAAATAAACCCAGAAACTCTACTTGAAAGCACAATACACTAATAAGTTCTATCAGACATTGGTATCATACAACAAAGAACTGCCACGAATCTTTAAAAGAATTAATACGATTTGAATCATTCAGACTCAACAAGCAATTGAAGCACTTCTTTTTTTAATAAGAAATTTAACAATCAATTAAAACACTTGAATCAATCAGCAAACGAACTTTCAAAGAGCAAGAACCACATGGCAAAACAACAGATGCAGGCAAAGCCTCCAGCGTCCTTAAAGAAACCTTACTCCCATTTCTCAACAATGGATATCCCATTTCCTCCAACTCCCCAGAATCAATAAAGAAGTAATCACCACATCGGCACTGATAAAAGAGTTCTACAACTTCACCTTTATCTTCCACAACCATATCCTCTAAGCTAATGCTCTCTGCACCCATCGCATCCCCTTTGGCAGCTTGGAGCTCTCTGTCGTAAGCTGCACGAGACGTTGAGCTGCCGAGGACTTCCCAAGCCTTCTGCACCTTGAAATATCTCTCTCCTGAGAGGTCGTCAGGATGAGATTTCTGGCACATAGCTTGTAACTTATCAGGATGGAAATTAAGGAGAGCAGACCGGTAGCTAGCTCGAATTTCGTCGTAGCTAGCATCATGTTTCAAAGACAGTACATCATAATAAGTTTCACCAATGAAGCCATAGCCCGAACTCATTGTAGGATCGCTTCAATTTCCTACCACCTTGAGATATATGCAATGGAAATTATAAGCAAAATTACTGTGCTAGTGTCTGTTAAAAAGGGGTAAACTACAAAAGATGTTGAAAGTATCAACAGCGGGCTTAATGGAATAGATGACATCAAATTCCTAGAACAAATTAATGTAGTTACCAGCACCCAGAAATATGTGATATCAAGGGACTTAAAAAAGGAGATGAGATATCCCCAAAGCCAAAGAATTGCAAAAAGGATTTCCAATGGACATGAATATGCAAAAAAACCATAATTACAAAACTCTATACAACGGGAGCAACCCTCTGAGGCATGAAGATAGGCTAATTCCCACAGATCATGGCTAGACATTTCTTCCCCTTGAAAAGTCCTCGTATTCCGCTCCGTCCATAATTACCAAAGAAAACTTACTACTGCATTCAACCACAAAATTTTGTCTTGAACAACGAAGAAAGTTCCATAAATGAGCTGGAAAAACCCGTCAGAACTACTCTTAGGAAAAACCCGAGACAAGTTAAAAAGTATTGAGCTGCTTACTCCAACAATTCGCAGCAAAAGAACATCGAAGAAATAAGTGTTGGCTATCTTCCCCATCCATCTTACACATAACACACCACGAGGGATACAAATGTTCAATACCAACAGGGAATTTTTCTTTGCAGCTTGTTACAAGTGTTTAACTTCTCCAGGGCATAAATCCATAATAAAATTTTCCACCTTTTTTGGTATTTTGGACTTTCAGATGAGACTATCAAAGGGGAATTCAAACTCAACACCAACAGTACTACCAATAAGCTTGTTACAATGTGATATTAAGGGACTTTCTGGAAGTTTTCCTTAATTTGTTCTCTTTCTTTAGAAAAAGGTTACGGGCCTATTTCAAAAAGGCAACAATTTCAATCTTTACAAACCACTGGGTCGTAGCTCGATAAGACAATTCTTAAAAGCAAACTACTAAACAGCCCCAAATGTGTAAAAACTTATATTCACAGTCAGTTACAGGATAATTCACTCAATAGCAAAACAAAACCTTCTCCAACCGCATAAACTATCATCTAGCACATTCATGAAGCTTCGGTTCTATGGTTTTCGGCTAAATCGACGACCGAACGGAAAGTCTTGATTAGGCAAAACCGAATTTCAATCAAATCGACCGGTTCGATTCCTATTGGTTCGAACTTGCAGATGTTGATCCATTGTAAGCAATGAAACTCGAAAGACAAATATAGGAGATAGAGAAAATACCTGAGACCACGAGAAGGTAGAAGATCGATGAAGACGAGTGCGTCGCGGCAGGGTTAGCGAAGGCAAGAGTGAAAGGGGCGGCGCCGCGGCGGGAAAGGGGAGCGGGCGTGAGGACGGGAAATTGACTATTATGCCCAGGTTTGCTCAATTATCCCAAAATTTGAAACTTTAGTTGTCTAATCTAATAAATACTTTTTTGGAAAGTCAGGCAGAATAATAAATATAAATTTTATTTAAAAAATTAAAAGTCAAAATATAAATAAATTTAGAGGAAAATACAAACTTTTTAGCTTGAGGTTTGACTTGGTATAGTTTTCAACATGTTTGTCTGTGAGGTTTCGAAATTCACCTTTTTTTTCCCTCCTTTCCTCCCCAGCTACCTTTCAATTACCGTAGCTATTTTGCAAACAAAAAGTCTTTTAATTATGTTTAGCTAACATAATTTTGTTAATTATATATATATATGTGTATATATTTTAGTACAACATGTAAAATAGAGATTCGAGCGTGTTCAATCAAATTAACTTGTTGATTTAATATTTATTCGTGTAACAGTGCTTAGATGAAAATATTTGAATGTAGCGATAGTACAGCAATTTTATATTTTTAAATTGATGTGACAAAAATAATTATTTTTTATTTATTTTTCTATTAAGGTAACAACCGTTAAAAATTAATAGTGGAAAATCGAATTCAAAATCTCGGATTTAAAAATTAGAGTCACGACTCAACCATTCTTATCTCTCATTCTCTTTTTTATGCCCCCTCCCCTTCCCTCGTCCTCCCTCCCCTTTCTGCTTTCATGTTGCAAATGAATATGAAAATTCGAATGTTGGTGGTAATTATCGATAGCAATTGAAAATTTTGCAAACTGGAGGTCTAGTGAAATAATTTAGCATTAAAAAACAATATGAAAAATCACAAACAAGCCATTGAATAAATATATGCTCCAAAACTTTCCATTCCACACACATAGACTGCTTCATTCGTTCTAGAAGGTTGGAGGTTTAAATCCTTACTCCCTCTCCCTTTGTTTGTTTGTAATGTTATATTCGTGTGTGCATATATATATATATATATATATAACAAACACCACAATGAAACCATTAAAACCTTATCACATATCACACTAAAGAAGCGCTTAGATTATGACTTCAAATTCAATAATTCCCCACCAACTATAATATAGCTCAACTAGTTAAGACGGTCGGAGATGAAACCATTAAAACCTTATCACAAAGAAGTGCTTAGGTTATAACTTCAAATTCAATAATTCCCCACTAACTAGTTAAGATACTCATCTCCGACCTGAAAGTCGTTAGTTCATATCTCCACTCTTATATGTTATTACTTAAAAAAGAAGAATAATTCCCCCTACCTACCTTAAAAATATTAAATTCAACGGATTTCTTAACAACTAGTATCCAACAAAAACCCTACAAGTAGTTGGTTACTATCTGAAAAAAATTCACACGAGTTTCTCATGCAGAGACGGATAGAGGGAGAGTAATCTGAGAGCTCAGGAATTGACATCCTGAGCGTAATGAATCAATTTCAAAAGTTAATAGTCAACAAAAGAGCACGTTAATTCTATCTCATCTCAGTGCCAGACTTATAATCTGAAGTCATGGGCACCAGGATCGCCAAACCCGTGTTACATGAGACTAAGGCAGACCTCACTCGAACAAACATATTCAATCAACCGCTAGTCACCTACACACCTAACAACCCTCAAAATTTTCATTCATGGCAACTCTAGGGACAATGATGCTCAAATGTAAGAAAGACAAGGTAAGTTGTAAACGTTTTAGTGGAAATTCCTTCCCTGATTTGTCGTACAATTAAAAACTAACAACACCAGAGACCCAAGGGACGACCAGTGGCGCAGTCGGGTGTGTGTTTCTGTAAGACTGAGGATAGTTGGTCTTGAAATTCAGTTTGGGCTTTTCTGCCTGCATTTGGTCAAGATGAAAAAATTAGATTCATGTGAATTGAGAACCTAAAAAGGATAACTATCAGAAACAACAGTTTGACGCTTACATATTTGAGCCAGCACTCCATATGTTTGTGTTCGTAGATGTCAGGAGAGTGGCAGCCAGACTCAGAAGGACAATAAACCCAAATGTTGCATTTCCTATCGCCTGGTTGTGCACGTTTTGCATGATCCAAGCAAGCCTGACAGCAATCAGCTGCACTTTCTTTATGATGAGTAAGGCCCCATCTAACTGCGGCACCATCGTAATCTGTATGGAGCTCAGCATTACATTCGAGCGGAAGTGGTCTGCCAGGCAAAATTTCGTCATCTGCATAGAGAGGGGGATCGAACACCTTAGTGAAACATAAACTAAGATTTTACCTAGAAGAAATAAGATCATTTTGAATGCAAAACACGACTCTTAGTAGTAGCAAAAGTTTACCCAATTCATCTATGCCCTCTGGCTTATCATCATGTTCCCTGTTGAAGATCTCCGCAGGTATCCACAGGCCAATTGCTTCAGACAGCACTTCCCAATGAGTATCCAAGGCTCTTACAAGAATCCCTATCAGAAGATACAATAAAAAGAGAGCAACTAAGATAAACCATCGGCACCGGTACAATGAGGTTTTCAGGTGTCATTCACAGGGCTGCGTCACAGGTATGACTTTCTAGCATGATACGACAAAAAAGCACAAATACACTGTTATAAAACTTCAATACCAGCATCTTCAAAAGAAAGAGTTGGATTTTCGATCGTTTGATCTGTGATCAGCCTCCTTGCTTCTTCCAATTTTTCCTTTCTCCAGCTTTCTACTGCTTCTGAAAATATAAGAAGTGGAAGGTTATAACAAGCAATATTGTGCAGGCGATTAAATATCTTCAGCTTTAAAAGATGAAGATCTACTGAAAGTTTGCAAGATAGCAGGTATTTGATGAAGCATACATTGCACAGACAAGCCACCCCAAACTTTAGCAGGGGAATATACCAAACCCTAATATTATTCTATCAAGATTGCAATAATGAATATGAGAGAGTGGAATATAGAATATTCAACACATTTTTAATGTCTATTAAGACAGCCAGAGACATGCTTGGAAATATATTGTTTAGTTAACTAACAATTAAAGTGGCGATACCACTATTATTATTAAGAAATAAGAATCTAACCGCATTGAAATAAAATAGGTCGTTCCCTTCTTCTTCCTCTCATTATTATTGTTGTTGTGGTTATTATATAAAGGAATTGTTACCTTATTATATTAGATAGCATATGGGCAGATGCCACTTTGTATGATCTATAAATTAGATTTAATCAACTGGATAAAGAACTCGGCGATAATCACAGAAATAAACAAAACCATATGGATAAATTATGTGCAAGAAGAATTTAGAAGAAAAAAAATTATTCTCTTCTAATTATTTCATCGCAACCTCTCTGGATGTATCCAGTATTCCTCTTTCAATCCTTAACCACTAGCAGCCTTAGGTTAAAAGGACATGGAAAAAAAGAAGATTTATAGCTTCTCCTTAGTACACAATTTTGGAAGAGGCTGCTTCAACTGTTCAGCCATCGGTTTCCAACCTTTTAAGAGTGAATAGTGTGATTTTATGGATAAATGATCCTAGTGACTACTTTGACTAAGAGAAACCTGCAAACGTGGTTAAATAGCACTTTTGATAGAAAATAGTTTTCTTCTGATAAAGTATGGGGACATCATTTCTCTGGTTTCTTTTTCTTGCGTCTGCCTTTCTAAAAATTATTTGGTAACTATTCTATATCTATCTATGATTGAGGACCAATTATGGAGCTTTTTTGCAACTCCTAGGCTGGCTAAATTGAGGTATTTCCTCCTTTTATATTTCCATTCTTCCTATGAATGTATAGATTTTTGTTTATAGCCACACTAATGAAAAGATTAATAGCTTATGCACGAATGAGGCACACTGAACAAATATTTAGCCAAAAAAAACCCTGCAAGAACGTAGTGAGTGGGTTTCTACTTTTCTCCACGGAAAAGATGCAAAGACAACAAAATAGAGGAAACATAGATTGTCTTCAAGGAGGTAGTAAAGATGTGAAGTGGAAGAGAGAAAATTAATGGTATGACATTAGTAATCTAACGGTTGGTCCGGATGAAGTTGGTTGAACCAGTATCTACAGTGCTCTAATGGAGGTTAGTGATAGTAAAAGGTAGAGAAGAGCAGCTTGATATCTACGAAACCAAGGTACAAGAAAACTACGAAAGATATGACCATTATGTGGCACTTTACATGCTATGTCAAGCAGTCACAACGTTGTTGTAACTATAATGAATCTAGCAAATTCAGTTAACAAGAGACCAGTGTTACATCAATGGCAACTCTACATCAAATTGATTTGTAATTGAATTCCTAGCCAACTAGTTTATTACATGCTCAATCCTAGGAGTATGTAAGGAAAGATAGATGTGTAAATTCCACATCTCTGAAGTGATGCAGGTGCTGTATAGCCACTTTGATTTCAACTCTAGTCACACTACAATATCATCCAGTCAAGTTACCTGATAAAAATAAATTGCATTTCCTAGCTCTGAAACCGGTAGTACAACAAGAGAGAAACAGATGCATGAAACACAATAAACATGGTACGGAGTGCAAACATAAGGCATGGCCCAAGATGACAAACTTGCTACTTTAAATTTTACCAGAACATTGATATCAAATTTATTTTGTGAAAAAAAATGAACAAAAATAACAATTAATCAACGTGAAATCTAAAAGTTTCTAAAAGGTTGGCATATACAAATGCTTAAAGTAATTCCTACCCAATATATTTGCTCTCTGAGCAGTGAGCATCATTTGAAACAGAAACCAGGGGAAACGGATAGTTAGCAGTTAACTAGGCGATAATAACAATGGCCTTGGAACAAAAAAACGAACAAGTGACAAGTATTGCAAGGAAATCATCAAATTGTACTGACCTCTCTGCTGAGTAATATTTGAGCTAGCATTCGAGCTTCTCAACATAAGAAGAATTTCCTCAGTAATCTTCTGTTTCAATGGATTGGGTAATTCATCTACCGTGTTTTCCTGGGAGAATTCTTTAAGCTCCTTGACCTTTACACCAATAGAATAATCTTGATTAAACAAATTTAAAGTCGCAATGCCCAGAAGCGGTTCTTAAACCAAAAATAATTCTCCTGAAACAGATCTGTCTCACAGTACATTGAACAAACAAAGCTCCGTAAAGCAAGTCTAAGTCTTACCAATTTAATAAGCTCTACCGGTTCAGATGCCTTGCGAACAAGAATAAACTCTTCCATTTTCCTAATCTGATCCGGAGTATACTTTACAACTACCTCAGAAGAAAGAAAATAGATGGAATAAATACATACGACCCTATCGAGAATAAAAGGAATCATAATGTTGAAAAGCCGCAAAGATGTTACAGGTTTTTCAATAATCTGAACAAAAAATCGCGAATCAGCAACAGAAGAGGAAATGCAACTAGCTCAGACACTAACCACTTCGTGAATCGTTGTCCGAATAGAGGTAGACGGAAGCATATAGAGATCGAAGAACATAGAGAGCGACGATTATATTGATAGAGCAAATGATGAGAGTGGTTTTCTTGTACGAACACGCCCATTTACCTCTTCCTTGATAACCCCACTCTAGCCTCGCCATATCCCTTCTTCTTCACCTTCATCCCACCACCATATCTCCTCAAAAATGGAAGAAACTTCACCGCCTTTCCTCCGCAGTTTTCTTTACCCTCGAAGCAGATCGATCCGATGGATCTTCTCGCCAAATCCGTAATTTGCTTTTTCAGAAGAACAGTACACGGCCAAGTCGTTTGTTCCTTTTTCTCTATTTGCTCTGACAATTATTTTCGTTTCGCTGGTAATACACAACTAACCAACAATTATTAGATTTTCCGCGCTATTGTGCGCCGTGTCCGGCCGCCTGCAGGCGATTACAACAAAGGGAATCGGACTGAGAGCCCGGCCGCGCCCGGCGATTCCGTGGTCGTTGGACGGCGGAGGTAACGTGCACCGGAAGCTTTAGAAGCCGTATAAAGATTTACTCTGCCGTCCGTCGCCGACAATTGGCCAACGTGCGCCGGAGCATCAACATTTCCTTCCCTCGAATCTCGATGGTTAAATGCTAACCGACTGTGTACTGTTCTTCTTTGGGCATCATAATTTCTCACCACACAGATGAATTAAATTATAATATCGCTTTCACAGACTTGATTGAAAATGATTATCTACTAAATTGCAATTTGACAAAAACGACGCAGTTTTATCATTTTGTGGAGAATTAGGAATCAGACTTCTCACTTCTCAGCTTTTCCCTTTGTTTTATTACCATAATTGCCTTCCTTTATTTTTTACATAAATATATTCATTTTTTTTTTAATATTCATGAGTGTCTGGACCAGTTTATGCACACCTCGATTAATCTTACGGGAACCCTACAACATTTGATATCGAAAAATACATAGAAATTATTCATTCTTAAGGTAGATGTCGATCATAAAATTTAAACATATTTTCATCTTTTTGTCTCTGTGTTAAATAAAAAGTATTGGTAATTTATAATATAATTTATAATTAGGTTTGATAATATAAATAATAACTGAAATTTAATCTTTAGAAAAACACATTGAAAAGTTAATTTTTGAAAGTAATCAATTATCGTAGGATAAAATATTTATAATGAAAATATATAAATAGGTTCATGTAAAATTGTGGGCTTGGAAGACTGTATATGGGCCCGATTATGCTAATTGGGCCGCCGGGTAAACGGGTGTGGCCCAGTTGTGTACCCGATTGGCGTCTGTTGGAGGCCAAAAATGGCGGGAAAAGATGAGTGCTTTCTTTAGGGTTCGCTCCTTCGCAGGCGTTTTCCCTCCTAGTCTTGTAACTGTAGTCGATCAGATTGCATTTTTCGTTACTGTTTGTTGTTGTCATGGAGATCGATGATTTGGACGATGGAGAGTTTGCATTTTCGAGGAACTATTTTCTGGCTAAGGAATTGGGTGGCTCGAGTAAGAAATCTGCTCGGAAACTTTCCGATATCGACGTCGTTGACGAACAGGTGCCGGCGTCTAACTTTTGAAACTACTTTGACTTGTTTGAATTGAAGGGAAATTATTCAGGAGAAATTAATGGCCAGGAACTGAGGGCGGCGGCGGCGAATGTTCAGCCTAAGCACGAGAAAGAGATTGCGGCTTTGATATCCAGCTACAAGAGTTTGTACTCGAAATGGGTTTTTGAGCTGAGGTATGCTCTTATTCCGATGGTTAAAATGCAGTATTCATTCGTTTGGAGCTCTCTGGTCGCAATTTTCCGAGTTACTTCAGGATTTTTAGTGAACTTGAAATTGATGAACTTGCAATCGAAGTCCGTTTAATTTCTTTTCAGGTTATTTGTTCTGTTCCTCTCGTAAATTTGCGCAATATTTCTCTTTCTTATTTTTCAGATGCGGTTTTGGCCTTCTAATGTATGGATTTGGGTCTAAGAAGGCCTTGATTGAAGATTTTGCTTCGACTTCATTAACGGATTATTCTGTTATAGTAGTCAATGGCTATCTTCAATCAATCAATATTAAACAGGTATACTTTAGACAATGGCTACACACATACTATATTGTTTTTATCTGTCATCAAAGCCTTGCAACTTTTTGTGCAGGTTGTAGTAGCCATAGCTGAAATTTTATCAGATCAGTTAAAATCCCGACTCAGAAATGCATCCGGGAGCACCCCTAAAATTCATCAGCCGTTTACTTCACGATCAATGGACGATATTTTCTCATTTTTGAATGGATCGAATGAGGAAGACAAGGATTGTTTTGTATGCGTTGTGATACACAACATCGATGGACCCGGGTTAAGAGATTCTGAAACGCAAGAGTATCTTGCACGAGTTGCTTCTTGTTCCTATGTTCGAATTATCGCCTCCATTGACCACGTGAATGCACCACTCTGTGAGTATATGTTTTTCATTTCATTAATATTTATAGAAGTCATAAGCATAACACCAATGTCTAATTTTTATTGCTCTCTGTGGAGGTGAATTTTTTCTTCATGGAAAAATGTCTGTCTTGCTTTTCATATGCGGGCATGTGATTTTGGTACAAGTGAAATTCCATATGCTTTGAATTCTCAAGATGTTTCAGTGAGAATCCGAAGGATAAAACAAATCGGGGTTGCTACTGTAATCATAACTTCTATTCAATGTTCTATAGATCTAGGTAGGCCCATCGTTAAAGAACTGAAATTTTAATCACTATGAATAGAGTGTTATGAGATCATCAAGCACTACAACATAACTGACTACAATAAGGTATTGTATGAAGCATTGCAAACTGCAGATGCATTAGTTCTTAGATTTATATCTTATTGAACCAAGTATTCTTGTTTTGACAGTGTGGGACAAGAAGATGATTCACACACAATTTAACTGGTTATGGTATCATGTTCCTACATTTGCACCTTACAAGATTGAAGGGATGTTCTTCCCTTTGATTCTTGCACATGGTGGTACCGCTCAAAGCGCAAAAACTGCTACAATAGTCTTACAGAGTTTGACACCCAATGCACAAAGTGTTTTTAAAGTTCTCATAGAACACCAACTATCTCATCCTGATGAAGAAGGTAATGAAAGTTAAATCTCATCATCAGATATTAATTCGTTGGTTTCAGACACTTGAACATCAAATGTATCTTGTGATATCTTCTAAGGTTGGTGTTATCTTCTCAAAATTTCAGGTATGCCGATCAATAGCCTATACACGATTTGTCGGGAGCGGTTCCTAGTCAGCAGCCAGGTAACACTGAACTCCCATTTAACCGAATTTAAGGACCACGAGTTGGTGAAAACCAGAAGGCATTCTGATGGTCAAGATTGCTTGTACATACCTCTTCCGTCTGAAGCACTTGAAAAACTATTAATGGAGTTGAGATAACATTTTCATATTCTTTCTGTATGCATCAATAGAGATATTGTATGTGTGTAAAGTTTTATATGTGTTGTGGTCCTGAGGAGATTTTTCATTTTCTTTCCACCCTATAATGTCACTATTTAGATATTTAATGGATATTTATCACTTTCAAATTGAAGACAGAAGCAAGGTCTCAGTAACCATCGGATGATAGTACAAAAAAATCCTACTTATCAGATGATGTTGTTGTGTAAAACTTTGGCCTTTTTAAGCTTATTCTCAAACTAAATCGTCTTGCGAGTTGTTTCATTCTTCTCGATGAAAGCTCGACTTTTCATCCAAAAAAAATATATATATATCTTTAAAAGCTCAAGTTTCTGATGTTATAAAATTCCAATTCCATTTTCATATTAGTGCAATGGAACCTTTATTTGTAGCCAAACATATAAAGATGGCCTAAACCGAATATTGAAAGAATAACTAAGGCCATGTTTTATTTAATGAAAATGGAAGTTGTTTCTCAAATTGAAGAGATGGAGTTGGAGCATGAAACTCAACTCACTTCAAAATTGAAGATTACTCTTTCAATGAAAATTTGATTCCTAGGATGAATCTCTTCAATCCCAATTCCCTTATTTCGTGGAATGAAAATTGTACCTTCATTCTTGGTTAAAAAATGGAGAATCATTTAGGGCAAGTTTGACCTACCTTCTAATTTAAGCACTCCTAAAAATTTTATTTGTTCTTAAAATAGTTTCTATAAAATAATTTTAATTAAAATGGTGTTTTTAGTTACATTTTTTTTATAAGTGTCAAGCTACTGTAAAATAAATTTTGGTCAATCACTTTATAGTTACTTTTTGGATAATCAAGTTTAAAATGATTCTTCTAAAAATTATTATAAATCAATTTGACTGTTTCAAACCTTTTTTTTATTTGTTATCAAACATTTTTTTATTTTAAGAAAAATAACACTTTTTACCTTCCAAAATTACTTAAAAGGTTAATTTTGACACACTCACTATTATTAAATAAGTTAAAAATTATTAACCTTTAATATTATGTTCATATTAGTGATATTTATTGGGTTTTTTTAATTATTTTTTGTTGATTTTTATACTATAGAAACATCAATTCTCTTTATGTCAATGTTGAACTCATGAACATTAAAATATCAGTAAAAATGACGACATGTCGATATAAATTTAATTCCTTGACTTTACTATCTCAAAATCCTAATTTTTAAAGAGTTTCTACTTTTGGCCTACGCGATTGGTCTTTCGTTCGTTGTTGAAATTTTCTTCAAGTACGAATCATTTTTATAACTGGATAACCTACCGTAAGACAAACAAAAGATCTCTTTTTCGAGGAATAGGCGAAACATCTTGATTTTAGTACAACAAATGTTGGAATATGGAGATTGAACCTCAAAAGAAGAAATAAATATTATTTACTACTAATGGACTTCAATTTAAGTAAGACCAACCCATAAAACATCTTGTTCAGTGGAAAAAAAGGTTTAGTTTTAACAAAAAAAAAATAAAGGAAAACATAATTAATTAATGAACGCCTAGTTTAAAAAAGATTCAATTCACATTTTTAAATATTACAATATATTTATAAATACTTATTGATTCTTTTGTAGTACTTATAAATATTTATCGACAAGTCATTCAGGCTTGTGCTCACTAAACTATAATTTGCTCAATAAAAGTTTCCCTCCAACTCCTTTTTTCAAAATAGTTGGAAGTTAACGGTCGAGTACCGTTCAAATTTGGTACGAAATTGAATTTCCCAAAAATCAAATATTCGCCGGAGACCAAACCCAAGGAACACGAAGCGAGGAAGAAGAGATCATGGGGGTGGCTAATCTCTCGTACGAGGAATGTCGTCGCAAGAGACTCGAAGAAAACAAGAAGAGAATGGAAGCCCTAAATTTGCCCTTGCTTTCTCAGGCTCTCCTCGATTCTTCCCCTTCCAAATCCTCCCCAGTAATTCCATTTCGTTTTTTCTTTTCTCTTTCATTGTCTTCTGTTACGCTGTGTTTGTCCATGGAGTATTGAGCTTATTTGCTATTTGATCAATCCGCAGAGCAAGTTGGGCAAGCCTCGTGTCACTCAGAAACAGCTGGTGGTGGTGAGGAGATCCAGTCGCGTAGCAAAACAATCAGCCCCTGTTTACGCTGAAGTGAGTAATTCTTTCTTGCCTTGTTTTACTTGCACTTGGATGATGAACTTAAGTTCAGTGCTGTTTAATATGCAGAGACATTCTAATTCTAGTCCTCAAGATCTCTTTTCATTGGTTCTGTTTTCGTTTCTTTTAAATTATTCTGGCAGGTTCTTATCAATCGCGTGGTGATTCCTAGAAGGTACCGCTGATTTTAAGAAATATATATATATATATATATATATATATATATTCGTAAAGATTAAATACTTAGTATTGAGACTAATTTTCCTTTCTGGGGATTATAGGACCTCCAGAGCTAGAGATTTTTCAAACCAGTTTTATGCTTCGGATGAAGCAAGAAAAAATGCCTTTGAAAGAGCAGAGCAACTTCAATCTGGGTTGGAGCCGAATTATCCCAGCTTTATAAAGTCAATGGTTCGATCTCATGTTAGTGGTTGTTTCTGGCTGGTAAGCTAGTGAGGATTATCTGTTAAGCATATGACCTCCTACTCTCTTTATCGTTTAAGCTTGTTGAACTGAATGTGATATTAGTCTATTAGTAGATCATATTTAAAGGGAAATATACTTGTAAACAGGGGCTTCCTGCTCATGTCTGCAAGACAATCCTTCCAAATCGTGATGGAGTTATGACTTTAATAGATGAAGATGGCGATGAGTATCCAACAATATATTTGGCCCGAAAAACAGGACTTAGTGGCGGATGGAAGGGTTTTTCAATTGCTCATAAATTGGGAGATGGGGATGCTGTGGTTTTTCAGCTCATTAGACCTACAACCTGCAAGGTGATTGCACTTCATCTCTTTACTGGATTCACAATCCTTTAACCTTGTTTTGTCTGCTTCAAACGTGAACAATCAATCTTTTGTGCACTTTCATTTTCAAGGTTGTTTACTCAATTTTTACCTGAACTTGAAAATAAAGGCAGATATTTAAAAATGCTCTTTTTTTAGTTTTTAAAATTTGGCCATGGTTTCAAGAGGTTTGTAACAGTAGATTACTAGACAGGGGAGACTGTTACAATATAAAAAGGATCTTTAAAGATAAAAAACTGAAAACGATAAAAGGGCCCTTATTCTTTCAGATATTTAGTGACTTTTTAAGTATTTTTTTGTCTCATAACGTTGTCTGTGACTACAAAATAGTCCATTCCTGAGAACAAAATTTCCGAGTGTTCAAGAAACCTTCATATCCAAGCACGTTTTGATTTTTTAAAAAAAAAATCTCTCTTTCTAAAAATTTTGAACTCAAGTTAGAAATGACTGAGACTAAACATGCTTCATGTTTCCCCACGACTTCATTGATATATATTATTTTTTCTATTATTTCTTTTTCAGGTGTACATTCTTAGGGCGCATAGTTCCAGAGAAGATAGTGATTCTAACAGTAGCTAAATGGTTTACTTAAAAATCCCAATTCAGGTAATCATAAAATTAGAAAGAAAAAGAAAAACACTGTTCTTTTGGTCGGAGCTACAAATAACTAGAATTCATGTTGATGTCTATGAGGATGAGGATGAGGCACCTCTCCAAGACAGTTGGCTCTCTTCTTACAGCCATGAAATTACTTAAAACAAGTTTAGAATAACTTTACGTTCGAGTAAAACAATTTTCTTGAAAATGCTTTTAGAAGAATCACTTTAAAATGTTCAAACTTTTTTCACCATTTCAATAATCGTACCAAACTCACCTCTTCAAATAGTATAGCGATCATCGAAACATATATCTCCAGCTCTAAAGTTATTCCACATAAAATGCTCTAAAGTTATTCATTTCAGGTAAGAAGTGGCCTGATGGGGAAGTGCACATAATGCAATGCAGCTACGTTTGTCAGACTTGGGTTTGGAGCAAAATGCAGTGTGTCTTTTGTATAGGCTATCTTTGGAGGAGCAAATGCAATCACCAAAGTAACAGAATAGGATTTGTTAATTGCAGTGGTGTGGTGTATTCAAATCTCCCTAACACTTCTTCACTTTTCTTTATTTTAGCTTAGACTACATTGTTAGCTGATAGATAGATTTGGCTGATTTTGAACGAGCGAGCCTCAAGGTTCCAAGTGGGTTGAGTCCTGTGTAAGTTAATGAACTTGAGTTGTTGAAACCAATCTCTGATTTCTCAAGTATATTTTTTTTTGTTGTATTCCTTTCTATTAACGCTGGTATTGGGTAGATGCTCAATTATATATTTCTTTGCCAAGCATCTGGGTCAAAGTCTAAGATTGTAAATTGTTGATGTTGATGGAATTGACAAAAAAAAAAGTTGTAGAAAAAATCATGGAAGTTATGAAAACTTTAGTTTCAAACCCTCTCTTTCTCATTCCTAATGTAAGCACGAATACGGATACGAGAGATGCGACACAGATACGTCATTTTTTGAAATTTTATGACACGAACATGGTAAGGACACACGTTTATTAAAATATAAACTTTTAAAGAGTATATATCATTTTTATACCGAAGAAAATGTTGAATAAATTAGTAGAAAAGAAAAGAGACAATCGCGTGAAGAAAGAAACTTTTATTAAGAAATGATGAATATGGACAGTCTTTGAGAGAAGATTTTCTCACTTTCTTCACTTGATTCACTGTCTTCACTTGATTCACTCTCTTCACTTAATTTTCTCATGGGACATATGTCCACGAGAAGGGTCCTTGAAGTTCAAGTAAATAGATTGTTACAGATCATTCTATAAAATATTCTAGATACTTCTTAATGTATCCTTATCCAAGAAAATTTTCTAGAATCCTTTGGAGCCTAAGTTAAGATATTTCTAGAATATTTTCTTTAGATATTTATTTTACAATCTTCCATAACAATTTAGAAAGACTAATACATTTAAGAGATACATGGAGACTCCAATAAACTTCTAGATAGTTAGTGTTGTATTCTAACAAAAAAATTCAAAGTCAATTAGCTTGTGCATTTTTATATTTAATAAAATGAGTTTGATGTATTTTACTCTCAAAATTTATTATTTTGTCTTATATTACTATTTATGTCAATTTCTAATACTTAACAAGCGTTCAAGAGTGTCTAACAAATATCAAATACATATTGATTTGTACGAATAGTGTGTGACACAAATCTATTAAGGTAACAAGTGTCCAATACGTATCCGATAAATGTTGGAGTGCTAGAGTATCCTCGAATACATTATCTAAAATGAAGTGTTCATGCTCGTTAAGTTGTCGAGAGGAAAAAGTGATGTTGAAGATGGAAAGGAGAGCAATTGCCTAACTGACATTTCTATGTCAATTGAAATTGATATTGCTCGGGTTGGTTTCACTTGTGTATTCGAAAATTCACCCTCTTGTCTCATTTGTCATTTGTATACTCTAGAAAGTTCTTTCTTAATTGAAGAAGAAAATGTTATTTTATTTTATTTTTTATTAAGCTGGGGAGAAATTCAAAGAGATTTTTACCTATCTGACTCTTAAAGAATTATCCTTTTAAAAAAAAAATTATTCAAAAGAATTACATAACTAATTGTGGCTTTACCATCTCAAATTCAAATTGATCTTACTTTTCACAGGTTTACTAAAAGCAAAACATAAGAAATGTGTTTCATCTATTATACATTTTTAAAAATTTAGAAATTTATTGGACAATTTTGTGTCCAACAATATATAAACGATTTATTGGATGCAAATTTTAAAATTTCAGGATCTACTATAATTTTTTTTTTTTTTTGAAATTTTTAGACCTATTAGATATAATGTTGAGAACCTATTAAGAAAGTTCCAGAATCTAAGGCAAAAATTGGAACAAAAATATCATACACAACTATAAAAGTCACGGTTCTAAGATTTTCATGGTTTTGTACTATTGTGGTCCATATATTTTTTACTTTGATTCATTTGGTTCCTTTGGATCATTGTACTTTCAAAACATTTATTTTGGTATCTATACATTCTAGTTTTTTGTATTATAAAAACATATGTTTTAGTCCATGTACTTTTAAAAAGTGATCAATTTGATCTATATTTGCAAAAGTTTGACACAAATTTTATAAGCAATAAAAACCCTTTAATACAAATGTATGGTTATATTTAACACAAATTTAGTGAATGAAATGTTATGCTAAAATTATAATAAAAAATGGAAATGAAAATAATAAAATGCTTAATTTTAAAATGTACCAAGGATAAAAGGAACAAAAGTTGAAATTACAGGTACCAAAATAGATGTTTTGAAAGAATACGTATTAAAATGAACCAAAGTCGTAAATATACCCACCAAAATATTTAAATCAATTTTCATTTAACAAAATTTTTAATATTAATGCATTCGAAATAATATATTTTATTGGAAAATACTTGCATCTTCATTGATGGGGAGGAACATAAATGCAAGAACATAGATGTTTTTAAAATAATAATTAGTTGTGAGGACCAAGGTTCAAAATGTCGAGAGACATATCGACGTGTCGAGCATGTCGACATCGACATAGGGGGGAAAAGTCGATTTTCCCCCATGTTGTCGACATGTCGAAATGTCGACATGTCTTTTTTTTTTCTTTTTTTCCTCTCCTTTTTTAAGGTTATTTTATTTTCATCATCTTCCTACTATGCCACTACAATCTATAATTTCTCACAACCTGTATGATTGTAATCCCAGTCTGTCAATAAAACATTCGAATTTTAATACTAATAAGATTTGGAATTTGCTTTATTGATAATTTCTAGTCCAATCTAGTCCTTACTTACACAATTGAACAATGCCGAATCTCGTCTCAATCATCATTTGTCAGGACTATTCGGAGTAAGTTCCTTGGCTTGGACAGGACATTTAGTCCATGTCGCTATTCCTGCAATGAAATATTGACATATATAAACATTGAAATTATCTTAGAATTTTTAAAAAATAAAATATTATTATATACAATATAGTGGTGAAACATGGAGTATAATAGGTAACTTAATTAATACAAAAAAGATGATCTCGAAGGATCTAGTGCAGTATCTTAATAACTTTGATATAAATTACAATAGTTCTCCCTTGTCATCCTAAACTGAAAATTTTGAAGGTATAGTTGCTCAAATGAGTAGAATATGAAGCACATATGGAACCCATTGGTAGATAATTTGGATGAATGACACCATCACGAGGTTGAAGTGTTTGATTACAAATTTGGGTTGATGATAGATTTGAAAATGTATTTGAAAAATATGTAAATTCAAATTTGAAAAGAGAAGTAGGTAAAAAGTAAACAGGTACGAATTAATTAGAATTTAGAAATGTGTTTGGAAACCAAGTCGGTAATTATCTCATTTCCAAACGAATCCTATTATGAAAAACACTAAAGAAGTAGTCAAAAGTTTACAATTAAAGTTTACTTTACATATTCAAATAATTTCCATCGACGTCGATATTTTTTCATAAGTAGAATGGTCATATTCTTACATTTTATAGGATTAAAGGTGATCAATTATAGACTAATTAATTACGATTTAAGTTTTATTTGCTAATTCAAAAAATTTCCATCTATTTCTTCAATTTCCATTATTTTTTTTCGAAATATTCATCGAAATCGACATGTCCCTAAACTCGGGACCTCGACATTTTCATAGACATCGATATTTTGAACACCGATGAGGATAGCGTCCTCATTTAAATACCTGCAACTCTTTTTTTCAAAATAGTGGGAAGTTAACGGTCGACTCGTTCCAATAAATTTGCTTACTGTACGAAGATTATATTCGATTTTCCCCAAATATACCGAACCTGCTCGTCTTCTTCGCGGTTCATCTTCCCCCTGCTTCTGTTCTGCTGCAAACAGAGATCAAACCCTAGGAATCGAGGAAGAAGAGATGGGGATCGCTAACCTCTCATACGAGGAATGTCGTCGCAAGAGACTCGAAGAAAACAAGAAGAGAATGGAAGCCCTAAATTTGCCCTTGCTTTCTCAGGCTCTCCTTGATTCTTCCCCTTCCAAGTCTTCTCCTGTAATTCCATTTCTCTGTTTTTTTTTAACTTCTCGTTCCTTGATTCCTGTTGCGCTATGTTTTTCCATGGATTATTGAGCTTATTTTGCTACTTGACCAATACGCAGAGTAAGCTGGCCAAGCCTCGCGTGACGCAGAAACAATTGGTGGTGGTGAGGAGGTCCAGTCGCGTAGCAAAACAATCAGCTCCTGTTTACGCTGAAGTTAGTCATTCTTGCCTTATTTTAACGATTTACTGCTGCTTGTATATGGACCGGGTATTCTAGTCCTCAAAATCCGTTTTCTTTTCTTTTGAATTATTCTGGCAGGTTCTTGTCAAACGCGTGGTGATTCCAAGAAGGTATCTCTGGGGAAAAGAGAATTAAAAACAAAGATTGAAGACTTTCCATATAGTCGAATCATTTAGTACTGTTACTAATTTTTATTTTTGGGGATTATCATATAGGATCTCCAAAGCTAGAGATGTTTCAAACCGAGTTTATGCTTCGGATGAATCTAGAAAAAATGCCTTTGAAAGAGCAGAGAAACTTCAATCTGGGTTGGAACGGAATCATCCCAACTTTATAAAGTCAATGCTTCAGTCTCATGTCAGTGGTGGATTCTGGCTGGTAAGCTAGTGAGGATTATTTATTCTCAAGCATATGAGCTGCTCTCTCTCTGTTAAGATTGTTGAACTGGATGTGATATTAGTCTACTAGATCAATGAAGAAGGCTGATTTTTGAAAGTTTGTTTAATTACGAAGACCATCATGAAATAAGAGGATAATAACGAATTTGAGATCATATTTAATTAAATAAAGAAAGAACTTGTAAACACAGGGCCTTCCTTCTCACTTCTGCAAGATGCACCTTCCAAATCGTGATGGAGTAATGACTTTAATAGACGAAGATGGCGATGAGTATCCAACAGTATATTTGGCACGAAAAACAGGACTTAGTGGCGGATGGAAGGGTTTTTCAGTTGCTCACAAATTGGCAGATGGGGATGCTGTAGTTTTTCAACTCATTAAACCAACAACCTGCAAGGTGAGATTGCCCTTCATCTCTTTACTGGATTCAAAATCTTTGAACCTTTGTCTGCTTGCATTTTCAGAAACGGGCACACTTCAGTTCATACCTTCACACTCATCATTTCAATATTCTCATTTCAGTTCCTGTTATACAAAATTAAGAGTTGTTTACTCACACCCTGTCTACATTGTTTATGTTTTACTTAAAATTTTAAAATAAGAACTTCTAGTTTTAGACTTTGGCTGGGCTTTTAAAAGGCTTTTAACATTAAATTGCAAGACAAGCGAGACTGTTACAGTACAAACAAGTTTTTTAAAGATAGAAAACAGAAAACAGAAGGGGAATGTTGAAGCATTTTTTTTGCACAACATTTTCTGATAACTGTTAAAAAAATGGTCCATCTTGGATACTTCACAAGTTTTACTAAGTTTTAGAGAAAACTCATCCAATCCAAGCACGTTTTGGTTAAAATTTTTTCCTTTTCTTCTGTCCTACTCCTTGTTTTGAAAGTTAGTCACTGTAATGATCTACATAATATTCTTTCTCGTATTATTTTTTTTCAGGTGTACATCCTCAGGGCGAATAGTTCCAGAGAAGATAGTGATTCTAACAGTAGCTAAATGATTTACTTTCGTATCCCAATTCAGGTAATCTTATAAAACAGAATTACTCGCTAATAGCAGATGCTCCTTTATGTTCCAAAACACAAACTAGAATTATTTTTTTCCCTTTTGTAATTGCTGCTATTTTCTTGAACTTTTGAGGCCTATGAAGAGCCGGACCCCTCCCTCTGGTTGTTGTGTTGGTCCACAATCTCTCCTGCTAGAAGGTTATTTTAAAATTATAAAATGCTACTTTTCATTTCAGGTAAGAAAGTGGTCTGATGGGAAGGTGTGCACATAATGCAGCTACTTCTGGTAAGACTTGGTTTTGGAGTAACATGCAATCTCTGTCTTGTACAATTTGTGGTGTTGGAGTAAATGCAATCACTGTGTAATAGTGATTTGCTGTTGTAGTGGTGTGGTGGTGTATTCAACCCTCTTCTAATATAGCTTCTTCTATTCTTTTCCCTCTTTTAAACCACTTTTTCTTCTGTATTTTAGATTATACTAGAGTGTTAGCTGATAGATTTGGCTGATTTGGTTTGAAGTTGATGAGTCTTGGCTCTTTGATGGGCAGGGGCGAGGCTCGGGAGCTCGAGACCCCCTAAACTTTGAAATATATGCTATAATTAGTTAATAGTTTATCTAGAGTTGACAAAATTGTCCCTTAACTAGCAGCCTTTCTCACACTTACCTGATGAACTAGAGTTTCTAAACCAAATCATTGATTTGTCATTGTTGTATTCCTTTTTAGAAGCTTATGAAGTGGATGATAATGGCTAATTAACACACTCTTCTACCAGACATTTCTACTCTAATTTGCAGATATAGTCTCAAAACCAGCAACGAGGAGTTTACAATTCTCATGGAAACTAGTAAAAATGCTTGAATTAATAAATGAAACTTTAACTATAATTTAATCAGGTTACAATTCATCCTTTTTAATGTTCGTGTTCATAAAGATCCAAGTAATGTTTGTATCGTTCAAAACTACTCTAATTTTGTGGCGTTGAAATATCTAAATTAGTATTACTATTGAAATAAATGATTTTTATTGTATATAAAATTTTGTAAATAAAGACCAAAATAGTCACTCTTTAAAAATACATGAATCAAAATAGACGTTTGGAAAGTCCAAAAACAAAGATAAATTAAAGTTAAAAGTAGAAAATACCAGAATAAACATTTTGAAAGTCTAAAATTTAAAATAAACCAAAGTAACTATTTAAATCTTTAATTTATTCATATTGTTAGGGAGGAAAAAAAAAAGAAAGAGAAAAAGAAAAAAAAGAAATGAAATTGAGTTGAGTGCCAATGGCAAAAGGGAGAAAAAGTTTTTCCACATGACCCATCGCTCTCATTGTAGGTTTGAGTACGAAATCTTTGTTTTTTTTGCCACATTTCTTGCACCTCTCTCTCTCTCTCTCTCTCTCTCTCTCTCTCTCAAAAAATAAATAAAGGTTTTGAAAGATGAGATAAGTGAGTCCACCCAAAAATAATGCCTCCATGATTGAGAAGAGATGCAAACCTTTATTATCAATATCATATCATCACCCACTTCTTCTCTACTCTATGCTCTATCTGTATGGACCATTCTCTACACGGTGTTTGGGTCTACCATCTTAAATTCTCCCTCATTAGATCTTCTATCACCGCAACCCATTTAACCTTCAATATCTTCCAGCATAATTCTCATGGTTTTACTTTTCGTTTCACCCAAAATACTTTATACCAATTGAAATTTTATCTATCTCACATTTATATCTATGATTTTTCCCTTATTTAGTTAATGTAGGACTTTGGTCGCGTTCCTCTAATCTAAGGAATGAAATTTCTATTAACATATCCACATTTCCATAGTATCTTAAACATAACAGCAAACTATCACTGTTCTGATCATAATATATAAATATTGATAATTTTTACTTATTTAAAAAGATAAAATATTTATTTGTTGATTTAAATATTGTTTATGAATTTTTTTATTATATAATTTTTTAAAAAATATCAATCTACATCGACATTTTATCGATATTTCCATGAAATTAGATCTTGACATTTCCTTCTGCCGTTAACATTTAAAACCTTGTTCTAATCAACTAACATTATTTTGATGTGACCTTTTACTTTAAGAATAATTTGTTGAATTGCGTAGATCTTTTTATTTTTATTTTTTTAATTGCTTAGATCTAAAATAGTAATGTTAGCTTTAAATGATTCTTCTCTAGATAGATATATTCACTTTACATCTCAGATATATATTTTCTATTTTAAAATATTTATAATTTAATTTTTTTATACATCATGTTTAGTACACATGTATAATCTGTTTGGAGTAATTATCGTCAAAGTCTAAATTTTGGAAAGAAAAAATTTAAAAAATCTTTTTTTTTTTTTGGAACACCAAGAGATAAAAGAAGCTATTAACTATTGTCCGAAATACTAGGCCCACTAAAGGCACAAAATCTCTCAAAATTTTGAATAAAATTCCTTACGCCCGTACAACTTTTTCTCTTGAAGATGAATTTGCAAAAGAAGCCAAATTCGAGTGTGCCCGATATGATTTTTTAGAATATTATTCTTTCTTAGAGGTCAAATAATTTTTCCCTAAACTGCAATACTTTTCTTCTTTTATGTCTTTTGAACAAAAAGAATAAGTAATTTTTCTATAATTAAACTGTAACTATTCTCAGAAAGTAATTCCCACTAACACACCTCTTAGGATAGTAAAAAATTGTCTTTTTGCTTCTTAAATTAATCATGATGTCTAAGAATTACTACATAGACAATAAGTACTTTTGAAAATTATAGAAATCCTTAATTAGTAATTTTAGGGAAAATATATATAAAAAAAAAAACAATTTTTTTTTTTTGCATCTTTGGATCAATGGTTTAATCGTGCCGTGGAATGACGCATTAATTTTGAAGATTATTTTTCTCCTGCCAGCAAAAAGTGCTCTTTCATAATTTTCAAAAAAAGAAAAAAGAGCTTTTTTCATGTCAATTTATTCAAATAAAAGTGTCACTGTTATTGAAGTTCTGTAATCACTGGAACAGAATATTCAGACAAGAAGAAAACATCTTAAAACTACCAAATAAGAAAATTGTGTGTTTAATTTCTATTACTTTAAAATTTAAACCATCTTGGAATGCCTAACCTTATATTTTGTGCATTATGCCATCTGCCAACCACTATATTAAAATAATTATTATTATTATGATTACACCAAACTTTATGTTTAAATATTAATCAAATCAGAAACTATATACATTTAATTATTTTAATATTATTATCTGTCTTGTCTTGAGAATGATAGTGGCCACACTTTTACAAAAAGCCTCAAACTCAAATTTAGTGTATTTAGAGGGTAATTAAAGTGTTTTTGAGAGTAGCATTTTTAATTAGAATATTTTTTTACAAATATTTCTGAAAGAGAAAAAAAGAACTTATCAAACCCTTCTCTCGAAGGAGTTTTATTATGAAATTTCATGAAACTTTTTAATATACTAGCTTACTTTGGTGCATTTTAAAAGATTTCATGTGTATATTAATTTATGTTAATTAATTCTATTTATATATTTATTAGAACAGATTTTAATCATTGAAGGTATGATCATGAAGCTAAGCTGATGAATTCTTATCATCTCAAGTGATTCAATACAGATTTTTGTTCATTTTAATTCATGTACTTTTTAACTGTCAATTTTGGGCACCATATTTTCAATTTTTTTTCATTTTAGTGTTTGTATTTTCAAAATTTCTATTTTATATCCTATATTTTTAAAAAGCAACCAGTTTTAGTTTTTGCGGAAAAAAAAAAAGAAAAATTTTATATAAAATAGAAGCCCTTCAATACAAGTTTATGAGTATATCTTAAGAAGTGAGTGAAATGTCATGTTAAAATTTTGATAGAAATGAATGAGATAAAAATGAAAATGAAGAAATCAAAATGATCAATTTTTTTTTGTTTCAAAAGTACAATTATTGATATGAATAAAATTTGAGAGTATAGTGACTAAAATAGATATTTTGAAAATAAATCAAAGTCTAAAAAATAAAAACCAAAATAGTATTTAAACTTCAATATATTATTCAACATCGAAAACAATTACGTTATTTAGTTTGCATAAATAGATAAGTTGAAATATTACCTATTTTGTAAATCAAACATTCAACATGATTAGGTAAGCAATTGCTAGTATTTTGCTTCCATGCAAACGTGGAACCGAATTGCTCCAAAATATATACTGTCCAATTATAGATAGATAAATCATGTCATTCAAATGAATCTTATGGCATAAAAAAAAAGGATTTACAGAGGAATAATGCATATAAATATGAACAGTTCTTCGAAGTTTCCTCTTGAGAAAGGGGTGCATTAAGTATTAACTAATGTCATAAACTTTAGTTTAGGAAAGAGCAATGAAAATGGCAAATACCAAAAACAGTGCCCCTTCTTGTAAAGGTCACTGGCTTTTTGTGGGAAATTTTTTGGGTCTTTGTTGGATTTTTCTCTCTCAAATCTGTACTCTGAATAGCTGTAAGATTTGACAAGGACCCACCAATCCTTGACACGTGCTGCTCTGCAACTCTCTCTCTTTCTCTTGCCATAAGAAAATGGAATGGAATTTGATTTAAGCAATTGCAAAGAGGCAAAAAGGCCAGACCCCCCCACCCCCCAACTCTTCTCTCTCTACCCCCTAGTCCTCTTATCCCTTCCTAAAGGCTTTGTTAACGTCCTTAAAAGTATAGTCTTGATTTGGGATTTTCAGATTCAGAATCAGCAAGGTCTCTGGGTTGGGTTATGGACTTCCATCAGAACAACAGCAAGCTTGAAGATGGCAGCTTAAATCTAGAAGAAGGCAAAGAAAGGCAATTGGAGAAGCAACGATTGGCAGCTTCTTCATCACCTCCTTCAGCATCCTCATCTCCCTCTCATGAATTTTCTTTCTCAGTTTCTCTGCAAACTTCCTCCACAGACGAAACCAAAGCTCCGCCTTCCTTCACCATTGATTTGTCTCCAGCGGATGACATCTTCTTCCATGGCCATTTGCTTCCTCTCCACCTCCTCTCTCATCTGCCAGTCCCTCCCCGCTGCTCAACCAACTCCATTGAAAGCTATGCCCTTCCCATTAGAGACCTGCTAAGTGAAAAGGAACCCAAGAAAGAGAGCAGCAACTTCATCAATTGCAAGAGCAACGAACACTATCAAAACAGCAACAGTGATGATACAAGAGAAAAACCCAGGTCCAAGTCTTTCTCTAATTTGCTTGGTTTAAGGTGGAGAAAGGGGTTTGAAGTTGAAGAGCAAGAAACCAAAGTGAAGCAGCTCAAAAGGAAGTTGGGGTTCAATTTGAGCCATGTACTGAAGAGATATGCGAGAATGGTAAGGCCATTTTTACACTTCAAAGGAAGAAGAGATGATATGCAACTCCGCAGACAGTCTTACTCATTTTCAGGTAACTTAAGTTCGAGAAACAAGCAAGAGTTGAGAGGAAGAAGAGGTCAGTTCTCAGCTCCAGTTTCCATGAGAACATCTCCAACTAATAGTGGTATCCTCCTTACAAAACCACTTCCTCCTTCTACTAATAATGACAGCACAATGGAGGAGTTGCAGGCAGCAATTCAAGCAGCGATTGCTCATTGCAAGAATTCAATATTGAAAGAAGAAAGACTCAAATGTTAAGTTAAAGAGCTTATACAAGAGGATAGATGTTGTTCATATTCTATTACTTCTTCAAAAACTATTCAGCATATTCGCTTTTCGTAATTAATGTGGTATGTACGTGTATATAGACAAAAAGAGATATCAAATCAGTCCAGAAGGTCCTGTTTGAAATATATATAATGATTGTGCTCCGGCCATTTCAATGATTTGTTATCTTGTAACTCGAGGTATTTTATTGACAGGCTCTTCAGTTTCGTGGGCTGCTTAAATTTTTTTATCCTTTTGAATAAGTGGATAGTCAGAAGTGTATTAGATTTAGATGTAAGTTCTGTAACACAATGGCTACTGAATCTGTTTTCCACTTAAACAAAAGCAATCGTGATGTGAAAAAAAAAAAAAAAAGCTCTGATTTGAAGGGAATTCATCATCAATACTTTGGAATTTACAACTGGGGCAGGGAGATAGGATATCGAAAATGACATAAGAAAAGGTGATTGGTATACTAACCTTCAAAAGCAACGAGAATGAGAACCGATCTACCAGCGACCTTGTGATCTCTCTCCTAATCGTGTGGCCATGAGCACGAGTTAAATCAAACAACCGTCCAACTATGGACAGGCAAATACCCCTCTTCTGCCAGCTTTGTTCTCCCCTTTTCGTCTTTTTGAATCATTATAAGCCAGACAAAAACCTTTGGGACCAGAAGTCTCATATAAGTTCAAAAGAGGTGAGCCGATTCAATAATTGTCTTAATCTACCGAGGATACATTTTCTCCTCTCTACCACACTAATCCCTTGCTTTTAAGAATATAAATTATAAAAGAAAGGTAAATTTTTTCCCATAAAAATTACTAATTAGCTATAAAACAGCCCAAGTAGACTAAAATGACATTGGGAAAGTAAAAGTACGGGAGTAATATGCCTGAAAAATATTGCTTCAGATACCAGGGGGCAGGGTCCCTACAACAAATAGACAGTTAAAAAAGTGAAACCATATCAATATGTATGAAAACAAGTGAAAGCTCTGAAAAGAAAGGGGTTTAATCTGGCTCAAAAAGGTGTGGGGTCAAGTGAGACATGCCTACTAAGACAGTCAATTATAATATTAACAACCCAATTACCACCACCATGTATAATATTAATAACAATAATTCAAGAGGAATCAATGCCTTCAAGAACAGTTAATATGATTTTTTAAATTGGAAAAAAATTTCAGAATGAATGGTATATATCGTAAAGGTATGGACAACAGACAGGAAAGCTACCCTTTTCTCTTTCTGAGTAGGAAGACCATCTTTTTTTTTTGTGATAATGATTATTATATTATTATTGCATCTTCCAAACCCACCTGATCAAGCCCCCCCACTCAAGAAGAAGCGCTTTCAGTCTTTTCAACAATCGCCCTAAGCCTACAAACAAAGAAAACAGGGAACAACCGCAGTGCTTTATTAGTACAACCGTGAAAATATGTGCGTGTGAGTGACTGGGGCGCATGTGCACGCTTTAATAATAAGGTCCAATATGGACATTGAATCTCTCCATTACCAGAGATTAATGAAAATGCCATTTTTATAGGATCAATGGAAGAGACAACTGGACGATCCTTGCTCAGCCAGCCATCAGGAGAAGCCCCCACAGAAAAAGGTGATGGCTGTTGGGGCTCAAACAAATAATACTATATATTCTCTGAACTTCTGAGATGATCATATTTATCTCATCCAATGGGTAATAAATTGATATAATGCAAAAGAGAACACAAGGCTCCGTAAGAGAACTTTTATCGAACACTTAACATGCATAAGCATAACCCATCAAAAGCAGAGCACAGACAATAAAATCTTGCCTTCAATAACTTCTTCTATATGAAATGAATCACTACTTAGATTCTTCAACTTAATTCTGTTTCCATTTAACTTCACAAGCCTTTTCAAAACCAAGCAAAGGATGAATAGATGGGACAGCAAACTGGCCACAAAAATTATGGTACCTTGACTTCAGATTCACTCTTCCCATAACTTTTTTTTTTGTTCTTTCAAAATTTCTTTTTGGGATCATGACCTTTTTGTCACTTGTCTCCCAGATAAGCAACAGGAATCCATGGCCCTTCGCTGGGATTGCCCCCAATGAATTCCTAGTACAATGCGCATCGATCTGTAGCCGTACAGCCAGCGCATAACTGCCATGAGAAGAACTTCAAATCCTACTTTCCAGCGGCCCAATAACGCAGGAATGAATCTCCTCTAGCGAGGGAGGAAGCGGAAGTGGAAGTGCAAGATTGTATTTTTTTGCAGAACATCAAATTGAATGACTTCGAATGATTTAAAGTGTACGTACTGTGGTGAAAAATGATAGAAGTGAAGATTTCAACTCAAAATCTGTCGTTTCTTTTCTTTGGAATTTGCTAAAAAAATATGCTTGTTCTTTAGTCTCTACTGAAATTGTAAAATATTTTTTAGAGGAATTTCATTCTTAACTTAAATTTGTAATTCTATTGGATTTAACTTTAGACTTTGAAAATGTTTAATATTTAATCGGACGAATCTAAAAATTTAGATTATAAATTGATGGGTTTTTTTAAATATTATAAAAAGTAACTAATTATTTTAAATATGATTATTTACAAACTATTTTTATAAATATTGCAATTTTAATTATCTGGATGACGATCTCTCCAAATAAGCAGGATAAAGGTATGTTATGAAACGACGCATATTGTGGAACGGTCAACAATTTTTTTTGCCCATAAAAAAATGCTTTGAAATCCTCCAATTTCAACTCTAGCGACAGAAAGTGCGAAATTTGTAAAATAATTATATTTAAATAATTAGCGTTTTTATTTTAAAAAAAACTCCAGAAATTGACCCTCCTGACTGATTTTTGGGTGTAAAAATGAAAACTTACAAGTAATTTATAAATTCTTGCTGGTTTCATATTTGCTTAGCTTAAATTTCATATGTTCCTCATGTAATTTGTCATTTAGGTAACTCGTATATTTTAAATGTTTTATTTTTAACGAGCAACCTTGGAGGTATTTCAAAAAGAGAGAAAGCAATGTTTATCTTTCCAAAGATTTCTTGTTTATTATTAACTCGCGTTCAACAAAGTTTTAGTGTTGCAATAGATTTGGGATTCTCCTCCATGGAAGTAGAGACTAACTCTTTAAGAGTCTTCAATCTAGTTACAACGAAGAAGATAGAGGACTCAAAAGTGGATTTGAGGACAATTGAATTTAGAGAGACGTCGAAACCATACTTTTAACTGTCCTATGAGAGTGGGATGGCTGAACTATACCCTTAACTTCCATGTTTCTTTTAAAGGAAAAGTCCTCCTTTTAATTTTTTTTTTTTAATAACAAAGAGATATACATGTTTAACAAGTTGATATGCCTAACCATTTTAACTTTCGATTTTGATAATATCTCAAAATTAAATATTTATGTTACATAATTTAATTAATAAGTGTTGTTGGGAGGAGATTGATAGTTTTCCAATGAGTAATTCTACCTCAATTTAAACAATTCTTAGAGTTTTCCACTATCACAAAAATCTGAAAAATGTTTCATATAGGTTAGAAGTAGGAAAGATATATGGTATATTATTAAAAACAAAACAAAGAATAAAGTCGCTGGTGACTCGAGCATACTTCAACAGCTCTTAGGCTTTTAACAAATATGTGATGGGCTTCCTTTATTTTTGTTCAGGCCCAATATGTGGCTGTTTCCTTTATTTCAAAAGAGCGCAAGCTCATGTGTCAAGACTTTTCTTCTCCCACAAGTTTGCCGTGGAGAAACAAGTTGAAAGTTAGTTGATTAGTTCGAGAGGGAGTGGAAAAATTTTAGATAAAACGAAAAAATTGATTGGCGAAGATGGTCCATTATGCCTTTTTTTATTGATTTTGACTATTAGATTTCTCTATGAGTGAAAAATGACTACTTTAGATTGGGAATAATCATAAGTGAGGGGCAAAAAGAGGGGAAGTACAAAGGGAAGAGTGACATGCCTACATTAAACGAATTGATTCGTCGTGGTAGAGATAAAAGTGGTTCATAGGCTGTACTTGAACTTCGGATCAGTGTCCACAAAAGTAAGGAGTACAGCCGTATGTTTTAGCGAGAACACCCAAAAACCATAATTCAGCTCCATATAAGATAGTCACAAAGAAAAACAAATTGAGATGGAGGAGATAGCCTATAGCACGGTGATTCTTCACCGTACCGATGATGTGTTTCGATAGGTTATGATATTCAAAATCTAGATAAGATGTGAGTCAGATTCGGATCCCACTTTTTTATTTCTTTTTAATGAAATATATTAAATATTTGTCGCTACGTGCACAACACAATTGCAGCTTTGATGATAATGGATAAAACTTGCCTCCCTTCCGATTCTTCGTTAGGGTAGTAATTTTTTGGACAATCAATCAGAGAATGATCCTCCTTGTTAGCTTGAATAAGGGAAATCACGTTAACGGAATAAGTCTCAATAATCAATTGAGTGAAATCCATTTCAATCGTCATGCTTAGATTGTCTCTGATCGTAATTGTCTCTCTTTATTAACTGTGAGCAAACCACAATAATATTGTAAAAAGGTGAGATATACTTCTCCTTCTCTATCTTTGATCACTATCCCTAGGCCAATTCGTTTTTCCGCTGCCCTAATTGTTGCGATCAAATCACTTATAAATATTCTACTTACCTTTTCCTATTATTGTGACTTTGACATCGGAGTGCCCAATTCGTAGAAGGGATAAGCTACTTAGGACACGAACAACCCATATAAATTTAGAAAATCAAATTGGAAAGCTCCATGCTTGTCCAATAACAATTTTTTTTTAAGAAAAGATTTTGGAATCTATTTCTATAAAAAAATTTCTTCAAATTTGGCTAATAATTCTTAAGAGAATTAAATACAAAATTGTTACTAAATTAGGGGAAAAAATACCAAAATAAAATATACAATTTATATTTGGTCTAAATACTATTCTGATACATGTTTTTTCAATTTTCTTTTCTAGCCCATGATTATCTTAATTCATTTTTATACAAATGTTATATATAACAAAATTTTAATACAAATTTATGACTACATCTCAAAAATTTTATAGGATGTAGTATTATGCTGCAATTGTGATAAATATATGAGATAAAAAAAATAAAAAGATTAAAAGGGACACTTTAAAAAGTACAATAACCTAAATAGAAAGAAATTGAAATATAGAGACAAAAAATAAATATTTTATAAATATAAGGAATTAAAATAATATTGGAACATTTTTTTTTCTTAAATCTGAAAAAAGAAATTAACCGTTTGTCATAAAAAATACGGATAACAATTATTTACCTTTTTGTTTTTTTTAAAGGATGGGATAACATTTATTTACTAAAATTAATATCAATAAAAAAGATATTATTTAGTTTATTCATTTCCTTTTTCGAGACCTCAATTTTCAGTTCTAATTTCTCTCGTTCTGCAGAACAAGAAGGTTTCGTTTCGATGTTTCGTGGATCACGTGCTGTTCTTGCGCTGAGAAATGGGAATTAGATAAATGGAAGAACATTCGAATAAATGAAAGCGAATATGCTTAGATCGTGCCAACTGCCAACGGCGTATTTTCGTCGCGGTTCTTCCTTAAACGGGTTACGGTCGGCCATCAATCGGGTTTTCGATTATGTCATGCTCGCGATCCTCTGTGATTAATGGAGAGTCTTGACGTTGCCGATTAACCATGAATATTATTATTAGGTTCTTTCTTATCTTCGAATTGGTTGACCGCTTCAACATTGATTAGCTCGGTGGTTTATCCATCTGGGTTTCATGTTACAATTTTTTAATTAAATTGATTGATTGATTGGCTGGTTGTTTGATTCCGATTGTTCTTGAGATCGTAGTCTAGGAAAATCGTGATCTGGGTTACTCGTGTATGTAGTTTTCTCTTTAGTTTTAGGAGTTTTGGTGATATATGATCCTACGATCATTGAGATAAAACATTGGCCCCTCGATTTTATGGGGGAAATTATAAAAATTACTATATGATGGCTGAAAATTTTATAGTTGTGATCCGGGTGGTCTGAGGAATCAGGATATTGGACGATGAACGCTGTGGGGCTACTAGGTAGTTACATTTCAAGGGGTGTTTATACAGTTTCTGGGCCATTTCATCCGTTTGGTGGAGCTGTGGACATTGTTGTAGTTGAACAGCAGGATGGTAGTTTCAAATCATCGCCTTGGTATGTCCGGTTTGGGAAATTTCAAGGTGTTTTGAAGACAAAGGAGAAGGTGGTCAGCATAATTGTAAATGGGGTTGAAGCTAATTTCCAGATGTATTTGGATCACAAAGGGGAGGCTTATTTTTTGAGAGAAGTTGATGTTGAAGGAGAATCTGGATTGTATCCTTCATTTTCAGGTGATGTGGCTGATGGGAAATTGCAGCTGGGTCTGGATGGTAGAAGTATCCTTAGTTCCAAAAGTTGCAATTATGATGCTAGGTGTTCGATAGATGGGATTGAGAAGAGTATAGATAGTGGGAAGATAATGATGAAGAGTAGCTCCCAACGGACACAGGTACTTGGATTTGCTTGGGGTCGTAAATCAATCAAAGAAGATCATCATCAGGACACATCTGTTGCAAGGGTTGACTCACTAGAGCGTGCTGAGATTGCAGCTGATCTTTTAGAGGTTAGGTGGTCTACCAATCTTCGTGCAGAAAAGGTTGAGAAAGCAGATACTTCCAAGTTTTCTTCCATTGATACTTCAGATGACAAGGATGAGGAAAATTTGAAGAGAGATGATGGGAGCGGCTGCCTGACATCAGCTGTAGAAGGTAACATGGGGAAGAGTCTTGATGAAGACTGTGGTTCCTGCAGCGAGCAAGTAACCAATGCCTCTCAATGGGAATTGGAAAACCTAGAGCTGTCTACTGAGGTTAGTAAGGAAATGTCAAGTTTAAACACCAAGGATCAAGTGGTTGAAACTTCCACTATTGGGGAAAAGGTTTTTGAAGGAAAATATGAGGTTAAATATGCATCAAGAGATATTGAACAGAATGCTAAAGATACTATGCATGTGACAGGAACCATCTCTGAGAATACAGAGATGTCAAGTTTAAACACAAAGGATCAAGTGGTCGAAACTTCCATTATCGAGGGAAATTCTTCTGAAGGGAAATATGAGGTTAAATCTGCATTAACAGATGTTGAACAGAATGTCGAAGATGCTACGCATGAGATAGGAACCATCTCTGAGAATACAGAGATGTCAAGTTTAAATACAAAGGATCAAGTGGTTGAAACTTCAATTATCGAGGAAAATGCTTCTGAAGGGAAATATGAGGTTAAATCTGCATTGACAGATGTTGAACAGAATACCGAAGATACTACGCATGAGATAGGAACCATCTCTGAGAATACAGAGATGTCAAGTTTAAATACCAAGGATCAAGTGGTTGGAACTTCCATCATCTGTGAAAAGGCTTTTGAAGGGAAATGTGAGGTTGAATCTGCATCAAGAGATATTGAACAGAACGCTGAAGATACTATGCATGTGACAGGTACCATCTCTGAGAATACAGAGATGTCAAGTTTAAACACCAAGGATGAAGTGGTTGAAACTTCCATTATTGGGGAAAAGGCTTTTGAAGGAAAATATGAGGTTAAATCTGCATC